CCCCAACACACCAGGGCTAAAGCCCAAAGCCTGAGCCCCACCACTCCTGGGAAGGTGGGGAACTCACCAGCTGCTCCTCCAGTGTTGTGCCCCAGGTGTCTCTGGAGGGGAGCAGGGCCCAACCCCTGCTGGCAGATACAGCAACCAACACACAGGCGGTGCATCCAGAAGCACCCAGGAGGGGCCACTACTATGCCACTTCCCCCCTGCATCACAGCGTAGGAGGTTGTGGCTGCAAGAAAAGCCCCTGGTGGCTGCATTTGAGAAACACTGACTGTTGAGAAACACTGACAGCGCTTTACCGTGGATTGTGTCGTCACGGCAGAGCTCTGGGAGAGAGCTCTCCCAGGCTCTAAAAAAACCCACCTCCACGAGAGGCGTAGCGCCCAGCGCTGGTGCTCTGTTTACACTGGCGCTTTACAGCGCTGAAACTTGCTGCGCTCAGGGGGTGTTTTTTCACACCCCTGAGCAAGGAAGGTGCAGCACTGTAAATTGCCAGTGTAGACAAGCCCTTTGATTGGTAAATCTCTGTGGCAGGGAGACTCCCGGCTCTTCATAGGTCAGACAGCACCATGCACACCATGGGCGGTGAATTCAGGATTTTATATACCACAAGGAAAATTTAAGAAGTGCAAATGTTCTGTCAAAAGTATTAAGCCACACCCACTGTGCTAGGGACCGAACAGAGTAACAGATAGGTGGGAAGGCCCCATCCCTGCTCCTGTAAACTATTTTATGTCCTTATTTTTAAAAGGACTTTTAAAAAATGATTCCCCTGGGTTTTGATTGTCATGCTGGCCTTGAACTGTACCCCAACCACCTTTCAGTTACACTCACTCATTGCATAGCCAAATCTATGCAGGTCCTCCACAAAAGTTGGCATTGTCGCGTTAAATCACTGACACCAGAAACCCAGTGTTATGAAGATTAACTGCACAGAAAACTCTGTCTGCATGTCAGGGAAATCCATCAACCCCTTTTGCTATTAAGGGCAAGTTGGGGGTGAGGTGTAGTGCGTTACACAGACACCCCTCGTTCTGGGGTCTGGGTTATATATAGACACAATCCCACAACAGGAATGTCCCATGAGGGCACTGGGGAGAGTGGGGACTACTCTGAAGTCCCAGCGCTGGTCGGTTCTGTTGGACCCTTTGCTCAGCGGCTCCCACGGGTACAGCGCAGCCTCACCTGATGCCATCCAGCTGCCGAGTGCTGGTGAGTTTCTCCAGCTGTGGCTGCTGCCCCGATCCAGCTGTGGCGCCGCTGCTGAACCCAGAGGCAACGGGGCCGCGGAGGATCCGGGAGGGCTTCAGCCTCCAGAGTCTCAGGCTCGCAGCCATTGCTCGTTTGGGGAAGGAGTGGGAGGAGTTGCGGTGCGATTGCTGGAGCCTTTCTGGCTCTCTGCTGACCCCTAGGCTGGCGGGGCTCTGCAGGGAAACGAGCCGGGGAAAGGCTACTCCTCCACCCGGTCACCCACAGACAGCCTGCTCCCTCTGCCTGCCCAGAGAGCTGGGTGCTATCGTGCTCGCCTCTGCTCTACAGGCACTCGCAGCCTGATGCCGCCTTGCCCTGCCCCTCAGTGCAAAGCCATCGCCAGTCTGACTTGGCAGCACTCATCGTGCACAGGTGTACGTGACAATGCACTAGAGCAGGACAATGGTGAACCGGACCTAATGATTCCTTCCAGCCCCAGCCACTGGTGTGATGCTGTTATGCAGGCTTCCAAAGCAGCAGTGACCGTAATATGCCCAGTACAGCAGGGGGTTCTCAAACTGGGGGTCGGGACTCCTCAGGGGGTCCTGAGGTTATTATGTGGGGGATTAAGAGCTGTCAGCCTCCACCCCAACCCCTGTTTTGCCTCCAGTATTTAAATATACAAAAAGTGGTTTTAATTTATAAGGGGGGTCGCGCTCAGAGACTCGCTGTAGGAAAAGGGGTCACCAGTACAAAAGTTTGAGAATTACTGCAGTACAGGATTTGGCACCATTTCTTTGCAGATGCTTAATGTATCAGGGAGGAGGTTGTTCAGGTCACTCTTCATCCGTGGGAAGCATTCATGTAGAAGGACAGGAGTACTTGTGGCACTTTAGAGACTCCTGTTCTTCTTTTTGCGGATACAGACTAACACGGCTGCTACTCTGAAACCTGTCATGTAGAAGGAATTACTCTTCCCTCTTTTGAATAGAGTTCTGCTGTTCTTTATAGTTACCCTCAGCAAAACTGCCTGGATCTGTGACATTCTGATTTTTTTGGGAGCTGGGGATTTAGGTCTAAGTCTGCATCAGTAAATTGTCTTAAATGGCCTTTTGATAATGGGCAACGATCGGTTTTTGGGCTGATGCTGATCATCCTGAAACAGTGGGAAGAAATACTAATTTCTGAAAATGTTGTCTTAATTTGCAGATTGGAGTGATATTGTCTGTCTCTAGCACCATCTAGCTGAAGTTCTGAAGGAACTTAAAAAATCTTAATTAAGACTCACAGCCACTTTGTGAGGCAGCTACTCATCAGTCTGATTATTTATTCTGCTTGTACAGAGGGGGAAACTGAGGCACAGAGATGCAGTGACTTTCTAGAGATCACATGATTTGATAGCAGAATAGGGAATAGAAGAAAATCATGAGATTAAAAAAACATTACACTGTGGTTTTTGTCCTGTCCTTAGATTGTTGAGCTCTCTCTGCTCATCCCCAGTGTGTGTATGACAATTGGTGCTGCCCACCCTCCCATATTTATTGTGTGAGGTGATTTGCAGGAGCTCTCACCCTCACATCTGCTCAGCGTCCCAGATCATCAATTCTGTCCCCTGCCCCCACAACCTCCCTTCTGCTCCTCCTGGGATTCTTCACCCCCTTCCCAGGCCTTGGGGAGCTACAGTGGGGTCCTCTTTCCCACTTCCAGGTTGGGGGGGACAGCTCCAGGGGCTCTTCATCCCCCCTTCCCAGACCACAGGAAGGGAGGTGGGAGTGGAGGTGCCCTGAGATGCTGGACTTTCTGCTCCCTTCTTCCCCCTCTCCTCCTGTGAGTATGGTGTCAGCTCAGCTTGCTTCCTACAGCAACTCTGATTGGCTGCTCTAACCCAGATGGTGGGCACTGGGGGGAAAGCAGCCCATCAAAGAAGGTGCCCCCCCCCCCAGGCAGGGCTGAAATATTCTAGAAAAAAGGGCTGGAGCTTCTAGCCTCATTGCCAGGGAGTCCGCCCTGAATGAAATCCCACTGCTAGTGGAAAAATTGAAAGTTTCCTGCACTGAGGAGCCCAGAGACCCCTACATTATAGGGACTAAAACTTCAGGAAGTATGGTAGGAAGTGGCCCAGGGAGATAGAGTGAGTGGTATCTGCCACCTGTGTAAGGCCAATGTGTTGCAGCTGGATTCCCCACTGATCCAGTGGCAGACCATTCTGCCACTGTTAGGGCCCTGGGCTGGGACCCAGTGGAGTCAGGTGGGCCTGGCTCCCCCTACCCTGGCTGCCACCCCCACTTTGGTAGCGGCCCCTGGATCTGACCCCTAGGCCACACAGCCCTGCTTTCGAGGGCCGCCATATGGACCCCAGTTCCTAGGCTGCCGCTTTGACTCTGGCCATTGAGCCGTACTGTCTTGAGTCCCAGAATGGTCTAGTAGAGTGTAACCGTGGTGTCACCACACCCACAATCCACCTCAAAGGGGGACGCAGTGTGCATAAATCACCACAGGCAGGCAGCCAACAAGGCGCTGCTGATCAGCTGGGAAAGATGCTATTGTACACAGAGCACACTGGCATTATGCATTCCACTCCCTGTTCAGCAAGGTTCTTACACCCCCATAGATTTCCATCCTCATCCACAATCACACCAGATTTCCATCCTCACCCCAGGCCCCCTGCCACGTGTTAAGAGAAAATACTGAAAATTATAAATGTTTTATGCACAAGCGTGTCTCCATTATCTATACTTTACCATGGTGATTGGTGCAGTAGAAATAATGTATAAAGGTGTATATACAACAAGATATATGCATTGTGGATGTGAATTTCTTCTCCCATTCCATTGCCTGATCAAACAATCCTCCCCACTTTTGCTAGTCTGGCTCCGATCTTGTAAAGCAGTGGTACTCAACCTTTCTAGACAGTACCCCTTTCAGGAGTCTGATTTGTCTTCATACCCCATTTTTACCATATAATTATAACATAAATTTGGAATATCAATATTATACTTTCGTTTCAGTGTATAGCATATAGAACAGTATAATCGAGTTATTGTCGGTATGAAATTTTAGTTTGTACTGACTTTGCTAGTGCTTTTTATGCAGCCTGTTGTAAAACTAGGCTAATATCTAGATGAGTTGATACTGAATACCCCTTGGAAGACCTCTGCGTACCCCCAGGGGTACATGTACCCTTGGTTGGGAATCACTGTGGTGAAGTAACTATAGATGTCTAGAATAAGGGCCTGATTTTCAGAGGGACCTACTGAATACCCAGAGCTCCCATAGACTTTAGTCTTTGTTGTGGGTGCTTGTAATGCCTGGTGGCTGTGGCATGCTAGGGGGGCAGTTCGGAGCAGTAATTAAGCGTGCCCCAGTGGTTAGGTAGCTGGAAGGTTGATCAATATCAGAGGCTGTCTGGGGCCTTGGCTACACTTGGGGATTCACAGCGCTGCGAGAGCTCTCTCGCTGTGCTGCAAGTACTCCACCTCTCTGAGGGGAATAGCTTGCAGCGCTGCGAGCAAGCGTGCAGCACTGCAGGCGCTGATTACACTGGCGCTTTACA